CTGCTGATCAACCAGAAGAGATCAGACAGATTTTGCATTCTCACATTGTTTGCGTGTCACTCACAAATACTCATGATGGTATCGATTTGCCATCTGGTCTCATGGAACTGTGAAGTAATTCTACAGTGGTTCCATAAGATTCATTTACCTCAAAACTTTCCTTTTGTTTCTATATATGTTTAGTTTTCTGATGCAAGGTGAAATCCAAAATATTCATCATGGAGGAACGATATAGATCAGCACCACTACATGAAGGATCAGCTTGAAATATTTCACATACAGTAAATTTTAAAGCCACTGGRGTTTTAAGGTTGTTCAGAGATATGTACAACTAAATTATTTTACTGATGTGTTTACTTTAAGGTCTCTGCATTGACTTTGTGTATTTTGAAACATGTTTTTTTAAGTACAAGATGATCTTACTCCTACATGTTTATCAGATTTACTTTGATTTTGCAAGTTTTTTTTAATGTTTCAGTCTTCACAAAATTAGCAAAAAGGCATTTTCATAAATTGTAGAAAATCTCAAGTTGATTTTATTGCTAAGTTTTTTCCTACTTAAAGTTCAAACTTGTAATTTTTTTCAAAGTTAATTTACTACAAGTATTTATGTAACATTTAAACTTGAACTTGGTGTTAATTGGTTTTGTGTTTATTTTACTTAAAGCTAACGTAGTTTACCTTTACTTCAGTTTATCTGTTTTGTTTCTGTTTTTATTTTCCCTGTCTAGCTTCATTTAATATACTTAATATTTAAAATCTGTGTTGATTACTGTCTTTTCTGAATGTAAATAAAGCCCTTTTTTTCTTTTTATTCTATATATTTATTTCTGAATTTTGTCAGTAATTTTGGCACTGTTCAAAATTCTAGATTTTTTCAATATTTTTACAAAAATATATACAACTTTCACAAGCTTTACAATGACGTTTGACTGATTAATAAACAATGTAAAGTGGTTCAATTTAAAAAGTGTGAATTGTCATAAAACACTGTCATGTATTAAAATTATGCAAAGTTTTAAAAATACAGTAGTTTCAGTTTTTGTGTTTCTTGAATAAAAAGCCAACCAAAAACCAAATAGTCTTTTAAAATTAAGTTACTCTGAATGGTAAATAATATGGGATTTTAAGTGCTTAAAAGTAAAGCAAACATGAACAGAAACTATGCAAATGTACACCTGAGAAGCYGGAATTTGTGCTGATTTGCATATTGTGACATGGTGCAGCTAAATAAACGAAACATATTGGATTTTTTAAAAAATACTCTGGAAGAAGAAATGTTAGGAACTAACTTCAAATAATCATGGAACAACTCAAAACACAGTAAAGCAATAAATTAACAGAACTTATGTGAATAAAATGAAACTTTCTGACCCCTTTATAAAACTGTTGAATGTGCAGCAAACCGTGGGTGCCGAATGTAGAGTTCCTATTAGAGATTTACGAAATCATCTCATGAGCCATCCTTTGAACAGTTTTTAACATCATGAAATATTTAAAAAATACTTTCATTAATGAATCCGTCTGACATCTAACCAACATGATTAACTCATCTAACTTTATCAGCATTTTAACATAGACATCTAAAAATAAATCAAATCTGTTGATGTCATTATTATGACATCCAGTGTCTGATTTTTTTCCCCTTTGCTTACACAATTGGCAGCAGGAAGACGCTTTGATCTTACTGTAATCTGACAACTCTACCTGAGGCTCAACATCAATAAGGCAAGAGCTGCTAAAAATATTTCTTCTTCTCTCCCGCTTACCTTACACTGCTCCYCCGTTTCCCCTCAGCATTTTGTTTCTCTGAAATTGCTAAGTTAGCTACAAGCTCTTCCCCAGGCTCTATACCCCCACCTCCCCTCCCCTGGTTTCCTCTGACTACTTCCTTCTCTCCTTTTAGCTGTCGTTTCTCTCCTATCTCCAAAATTCTTCTTCTCTGTGATTGCCTAATACGAGAAAGACGTGTTTTAAAAGGCGCAGCTCGGTCTTTTTTCTGACCTTCTCCCTGTCCATCTTTTCCATCTTCCTTTCTGTTCCCCCGTCTTCCCTTTTTCCCTTCTGTTACGGCAGCGGTTCATCCTCATGTATATTAATGCTACAAAGCTGAAGAGTGAGGCAGACTTAAAATGAAACCTCCAACTGGAGAGCGCTTGTGTGCTCATTTTGTGAGCGTGCACATGGATGCGTGCACTGTGTGTGTGTGTGTGTGAGTGAATATGCACTCTCATCTTTTTTAGATACATATATTCAGGGTTGGGATTTCTCTCCACTTCACTCTCCACCGCATGTTGCTTTTTTCTGCTTCACTCATCCACTTAGAGGTGGGCAACACGACAAAAATACCATCAGAATTTCTTTTTTTTTTTTTTACAATAAAATCACAATTTTATCAGAATTTTTAAGTACAGCGTAATAGTTTTCAAGTTACTGAACAGGGGCACCGTGATGCGCCGACGCCTCACAACAAATAAGTCTGGGGTCGTCCTTTTGCGTGATTGAAGTTTTCACCCACAGACTAAAAACATACATTATACTGATAACTCTAAAGCAGGCGTGTCCAATCCTGGTCCTCGGGTGCCGCTATCCTGCATGTTATACTTGTTTCTCTGCTCCAACACACCTGGTTCAGGGAATGAAGTGCCTCTCCTGCAGAAGCCTGCATTTATTCAAATCAGATGGGTTGGAGTGGAGAAACCTCTAAACTGGGCAAGATAGTGGCTCTAAAGGACCAGGATTGTACACCCCATCAAAACTGTGAGTGAAAGCATGAATGGTTGTTTGTCTCGTTTGTCTCCATGTGTCCCTGTAGTGGACACGTTACGCACGGTAACTTCAACTTTTAGTGTCCAGTTTTGCAATATTGTTTACGTTTTCCGCATTGAATCTATTCTATAAATGATCCTACAGTCCTTTTGATTTGGTACATCGTGAAAACATGCTAATCTTTATCAATCTAATAATGTCGTTTCACACCTCTACATCCAATCACCTCCTGCTTGACTTTCAGCAAAGGACAGGTGGCTTTTTTCTTTTTCTTTTTCTTTTTTTGGGCATCACCAGACAAGACAGGTGAAAGTGACATTTTAATCTAAAATGGGGATTCAAGAAACAGTCGCACAGAGAGAGACAGACTCACAAAAACACACTTTTCTATTTATTATACCCTGTGGCCACAGCGAGGCAGAGAGATGCCTCTGTTCTCGGCTGATGCACAGCTCCAGCCCATCTCCATTTTTTTTTTCTCTTATAAATAATGCATTCTCGCAGGAATCTGGATTTAGCATGTGTGCAAATTCTGCTTTTTTGTATGTAAACAAGGGTGCGGAAGCACATCTGTCTGTTTCCGTGTGCTCACTTGTACAAGCGTGTGTTGAAACAATAGCTGTGTTGAGAGGCTGCCGGGATGGCTGACTCTCCTTTAGTTCCCCCTAAGAGGAGGAACGTGGGAAAAAAAGACAAATAAGAGCCATTCATCTTTTCGCCGCCTTATTCACTACCTCTCTTTCTCACTCTCAACCCCTCCTCGGTCCCTCTTTCACGCCACATCTTTGTTCCCTTAAATGGCCTCTTCTGGCTAAACCCCCCATTTGAAAATGCTCTGTTTTTGTACSCTGACACTTGTGCACTTGATGCAACAAAAAGGGAATCACACACAGACGCTTGCATGCTCCTCTAAAACTCTCCAGAGAGCACTCATGCCTGAGCTGTGATCAAATACACATTCCTAAAATGAAGCTGSGTTTCTTTGAAGAAACGCATTTCGCCCGCTGCCTTGTAGGACACAGTTTTAACAAAGATCTTGTGTGAGAAGGATAAAAGGATGTGTTGGGGATGACTCTCATCTACTACCAGATTAAATTTTAGATCAGTCTCTGTAACATTTACTGCTTTGTAACCATTTTGTATTTGTTAAGCTTGATTAGTTGTGGGAGCCATATTGAATCAGGCTTCAAAAGCTATTCAGTTGTAGAGCTAAAGATTTTTATTTTTGAGTTTCATTAAAATCTTTCCACTGATTCATGATATATTTTGCTAACAGACTCACAAAAAAAGCATTCGCACGTTCACACACATCCTAAGCTGTGTTTCATGGAGGTGGGCAGTAACAGTTCTTTGTTGAGGTGGCTCACATTTCCATAAAAGTACGTCCTCATCTCCATCACTGCATTCTTGTCTATCACTATTTTTAGAACTTAACGCCAGAATGAGAAAGCTCATCCAACAAGGCTGACCTGACACTGGAGCTGCTTAATTATGAAAAGGAAAAAAAAGGAAAAATCACAATTATTTTGCTCAACAAATGTTTACTGAAACGATTATTGAGTTTTTATTAACATTCAAGTGACTTCCCCTCAACATTTATTTTTCTTCCATGTTTTCCTCCAAAACTTTCCTTTAAATATCCGACAAAGTATGAAAATGTAAAGGTTCTAGATGAAAGAATAAAAAATAAACAAGTTCAAAAAATACACTCCCAATCTTTTGTTTGTTTTGTTTTATGACATAACCACTTTGTTCTACATAAAAAACTGTTGATATGGCGCTTTGTAAAAAAATTAATATTTATAAGTTAAAATATGCAGACTTTGATGAATATTGTCTAATTTAAACAAAAAAAGCATTAATTTTTTTCTTTGCTACATAACGTGGAATGCTCACTGTAGTGCTTAAAAATCTGACTGTACGACCTAAATCATAAGTAATGTGTAAAAAAATTAATAATAAATAAACAAAACTATGTTTGCTTCACATGAGAGCAAGAAATAGTCCGTTTTGTAAAAGAAAATAGAACGCATGCTTGCAAAGTGGAATGTGACAAACAGTTGTGTTAAATAATCGGATACCCAATTGTGCTGTTTTTGTGGTTGTTTGCAGCAAAAAAGCTACATCAAAGCTATGATTCTAATTATTTTCCTGGCCTCTACCTGACATCACCCTCCCTCTCCCTGTCTCGCTGTAAAGCCCCTGATCCCACCACAATCCCCCAGCAATACCTTCACATCCTTGGTGTTCATGCGTGTGCCCTCTTTGCCGACAAAAATATCATCTATATCCACCAGGATGTGCCGGTCCAGACCCAGAGTCAGCTTCCTGTCTGTGAGGTAGGAAATGGCATCCACCAGGATGAGTCTGTGGAGCCAGTAGCCCAGTCCCTGACCAAAGAGCACTCGTCTCACCCCATCGTACAGTCCCATGTCCTGTACCACAGTAGCCTGGAGGCCTAAACTAAAGCCAGGTCCTGCGTTATCCCCACTGCCTGCCCCTGTTCCGTCTTTAGCCCGTGCGTGCAACACAGCTTGGTACGTGGAGTGATTTGAGGAGAATGAGGTCCAGTCCTCCCCAGGTAAGGCTCCTCGATCTGTGCCAGGTTTGGTCAAGTGCAGGAGAGGAGAGCTAGACACCACACAGCAGTCCCAAAGTGCCTGGTTGGTCCTCAGCACCAGCGGCACTCCTTTAAGTTTGAGGACAGATGGAGAGTTCTCAGTGGAGCGGTAGAAGCCGATGATGCCAACTCTGTACTCGGTACAATATTGATGCAACAGCTGTCTGTTCCACGTATCTGCGTGCGCGTACTTCAACAGATTCTCATAAATGATGAGMGAATATCGTCCGCGGCCTTTCTCTGTCAGGGGCGGAAGGTCGCCCTTTCCTGAGGCAATCTCCATGCGGAACTGGAAATGGGCCGACTCCAGTATAGCCACAATGTCCTGACCTAGCTGGGAGTACTGCGACTCCACCAGCACCAACACGACCGGATCAGTATGGACGTGTGTGTGCGGGGGATTGGGAGGGTACGGGTACGGGAGCTGGCGGTAYGGCGACAGGGACAGCGGCTGGGAGCAGGCGGGCTCCACGGATTGCCCGAGGTGCATGGAAGGAGAGGAGTTCGTGAAGAGGAAGTAGGCGGAGAGGAGAAGAGAGAGGAGGCAGCAGGAGGCCAGGAGGAGCAGGAGTCGACGTAAGTGGCGACGGAACCGCACAGCCACTGTCATCTCGAACCGTCGACTTATTGTGCGCCAGAGGAATTGGTGTCTTTTTTTGAGTTTGCGGGYGTCTAGAAAGCGCGTGTGCAGGCGTTTGGAGATTGTCTACGTGTGCAAGACAGGAGCAAAGCCACTCAGGAGTACGTCATGTCACCATGGCAGGTGACTGGGGAAGATGAGCCGGATGTCAGGGAAGAGGGGTCTTGACTGAAGAAAGAGGATCGAGGTATGCGTCTCTTCAAGTCGTCGTGAAGAAGTCACAAGCAAAGACGCAGTAAGTGACAATCGGTATCTGCAAGGAAAGGAGGATAAAAGAGTGAATTCGTTGCAAGTAGATGAATGGTGTGTATTAGTTGTGTGTGTGTGTGTGTGTGTGTGTTTGTGAGCATGAGATTGAGTGTGCACCTATTGTGCCACCCTGGGGAATGTGAGGGCACAGCTGGTAACTACAGAACTGATTGAAAACAACTTGCATCCTTTGGGCTTAGCCTGTCTCTGACAAACACACACACACACGCACACACACACACACAAATACACACGCACAGCCACTGCAAAATGACATCCCAGTTAAAACACGACAGAAAAGTCAATCCTCCCAAATAAACAACAGCTGGTTGTGCGTTAATGTGGCAGTGTGGGGAGGTGGACGGGAGCTCAACTAATCAGTCCCATGAAGCTCCGCAGAGAATTCCTCTAATTGTGCCAAACTCTGAGCACCTCTGTCCTATTTCTGAACCTAATCATCTGAAATASCACAAAATTAGAGTTGGAATCCTTTTGCCAAGAGCACTAATCTGGAGGGGGAGGACTGAGAGCCCATGACAGTACAGAGGAAATGAAGAGCAAGAATAAGAGAGACAGAGAGGGGGGAGGAAAGGGAGAGCAGAGAGGAACAAAACGTAATGAATTATAGAAACAGACAAAAAAGACCAGGATTAGCATCTTAATGTATGTGCCGGGAGCCAGGGTGAAGAAAAGATCCCACAGCATCTCTCTTTTCTCTCTCACTCTCTCCTGTTTTTTCCCCTCCTCCCTTTCTGTCTCTCTCAGCACCCCTGTTCTTCACTTCTATCAGTTTGAATATCAAAAGCTTTTCCTTGGATTCTCCATCCAGCATCGCTTGCTCCTCACTTTGAGTGAACACAAGCAAAGAGAACRTAAAGGAGGAGGGATTCCACTTTTATTCCCTAAACACAATAGCATAAAGTGAACAGATGAGAGGGAACAAAGCTCATTGTATATTTTTTCTGTACTTTTTGAGCATTTTGACAAAAAAAAAATATTTGTTTTAATTATTGTGCAATATTTACATTTGAAAAACGTAGTGATGGCATCAACGAACAGAATGTGACAAACATATGTTTTATTGTTTTAGGAGGTTTATTAAATGAAATCGTTGGAAAATCTTGAAAGTGAAGCTGGTTCAACCTGTTACTGAAAGTGTTTTACTCGTAGCAGCCACAAGACGGCGCTCTGCCTGTTTAAACAATGAGTTCACGTGGAAGTTTTTGCCACAAATGAACAACTAAGTATGAGGGGGAAAAAAACTTCATAATCTGCAGTAAAATAAAATAAAAATACTTAATGTTATTAATCAGTAATTACTTGTAAATGAAGAGAATAATGAGCTGTAATGACTATAGAATGAAAATTAAAGTGTGATGTTGCAAACAATAGCTAAAACTACATGAAAGCAGCTTAAAAAATAAAAATATCTGCAGCCCGTGAAGTCAAACTAGCTGCAGGTAATTGCTCGGAGCTGCTGAAGTTGATGCCACCGACTCCTCCACTTACCCCTGAGAGGCTGCGGAGCGGCGCTGCTGCAGCGGCTGCAGCTGAGTCCAGGCGCTCCAGTCTCGGTGTTCCGGATGCTGCCGAGGCGGTGTGCCATCTCCCCCCCACACGTCTCTTCCTCTTTCCTCACCCCACCTCTAGCTATCTACGCCTCCTCTACTGGAGCACCAGGGGCGGCAAGAAGTCGGAATTATCCCCTCCTTTCTGTCATCATCCGAGCGGCCACTTGTTTCCGAATCTCCGCCGCAGCTCAGGTGGACGTCCGGTCCGGTCCGGGCGGCGCGGCGGACTGCTCTGCCGCGTGCGTAAAGACGCTGTGGTTTAAAGAGCGCCTACACGAGCGGAGGCGATCGAGGGAGAAACAGGAGGAGGAGGGGGAGGGGGAGTGTGGAATAGACCGAAGGGGAGGGGGTAGGTTTGATTGACACAACCC